GCTCCCCCACATGGTCTTACACCTAAGTGCCATGGGCTCCCCCCATGGTCTTTAGCTGGAAAGCCATGGGCTCCCCCACATGGTCTTACATCCAAGTGTCATGGGCTCCTCCCATGGCCTTTGCTTGAAAATCCATGGGCCCCCCCCCCCCCACATGGTCTTACATTCAAGTGCCATGGGCTCCTCCCATGGTCTTCCCTGTAAATATCACACATATAGCTAGCATAACACTAAGCATAACTAACTATCATACCACATATCTCTACCACAACAAGTGTACCACATATCACAAAATGGGCCGACCTTGGTGCCTTAGACCCATTGGTATGGTGAGGAGACTCACCTCTCGAGTGCTGAACTGACAAGCTAAGATCAGATATATCACACGCACTGCTCCTCCTCAACTGCCTATAATCAACATATGATTAACTTGTCATAATCCCGTAAATACCCTTAAAGTCAACCCTGGTCAAAGTCAAGGTCAACGGTCAACAGTCCATGTTGACCTCAACTCGTCGAGTGCATCCTAGCAACTCGTCGAGTTCTTCCCGAGTTCATTCCATTGAATCCCGAGTCAACTCGCCGAGTCACCTTAGTGACTCGTCGAGTTCATCAAATGTCCAGAAAACCTAAATTCCATTCAGACCAAAACCCTAATCCTTCACTGCACTCAATCAAAAACTCAAAAACGGGAAAACCCTATCCCGACTCGTCGAGTCAACTAAGGGACTCGACGAGTTCCTTCAGTCCCTTTTATGTTCAGCCCTTTTTAGTGGGATCTAAGGTCCCAAACTTCAGATCCAACCTCCCCTAGTGCAGGTACCACGTAAAGTTGCAAACTTTACGTGCATGCAAGGCCCTCCAAGGCTATAACATCAAAACTAAGCTTCCTACAAAGTTTTAGTGCATGGAAAGGGCCTAAGCTGGATAACGTGAGCAACTTTATGTCATTGGGGACCTAGAGAGGTCCAGATCTGGAACCATATCCTTGTGATAAGTCCAGATCCGAGTATGACCCTCAGTGGCGAATCTAGAACCAAAAACCACGTGGTTCCTTATATAAGTGAAACCAAAAAAATGAGAGAATAAATAATACTAGTGGCAGGCTGGCGTCTGGCGGAGCGGCGGCGGTGGGTCGGTGGCGATTGCGATGGTCGGACGACGAATGACATAGGGGGAAACTGGTGGCCGGGTGGGAGCGATTATCAGGGTAACATTGTATGATGCTTCAGATATGTTGATCACGCCTCAACCCAAGCGACGTTTCACATTTCAAGCATTTTTGTTATTATTATTATTTTTTTTTGCTTAATCTTAAATGGACTAGGCTATTGCCGAATGATTAAATTTTAAGTGGATTGAGTCATTGAGTTATTTTAAATGGATTGAAATATAAACTTTAGGTTTCATACATTTTGATCCATTTTCCTTTTGGCAAAGTTTATAAGGTATAGGTCCTTAAAAATTTATAAGGTAGTTCCCAATTTTTTTCATACATAACTTATACTGAGTTTTAAAAAAATAGGTGGGTCCTAGGACCCACCTTAAATATAACTAGATACGCCCCTGATGACCCTATTTTGCACCCAAAAGTGACCATATCCTTCCATGAAATGAGATTTAAGCAAATAGAGATCAATGTGGTAACTTTTACCTATAAATGGATGCTCACAACCAATAGATGCTGGATCCCAAGCCTTATCCTCTCTTCAAGCTCCTCAACCTTCAAGTTTCATTCTCAAAAGCACAAGTTTTACTCTCTAAGACTCACACACACTCAAGGAAGCTCAAATATGCGGCTAGGGTTTCTTTCTGGGTTGTAAGAACGATGAGGGAGGCTACAAATGAGCCATAAGTCCTTTAAATAGGGTACAAACCCCTGAAAATTAGGGTTTCTCTCTACAGAGCCTACTCGTCGAGTCGGGTCCTTCCGACTCGTTAAGTAGGATTTAAATCCCGCGTCCTCCTAATAGTCTCTACTCGACGAGTTGGAGCTCTCCAACTCGCCGAGTCCATGCACAAACCCTAAAAAATTAGATAAATTAAATAACACCTGGAACAGGCGTTACATGCTGTTGATGAGGCTGGAGCAGCCTCGGGTTTCTCCAAAAATGCTCATTCGGTAGCTAATGGCGTGAGGGCTGGTCCGGTGGGTTTTCTGGGGGTTTTGGTAGAATGTCGGGTGTGTGTATGTCTGAAGAGTCACTTTCTCATCCTCCTGGTTTTTCTAATTATATGGGGTTTGAATAAAATGGGAATGCTCTTTCTACGAAACATTCTTTCCTTGTTGAAATCCAAAAAACTTTGGATATTAGTAGATCTATGGGGTTTAATATGGATGATTGTTTTGATCGTGTGAAAGAAGTTGTTCAAGGTCATGGGGTTACTCAAGTAGTAACATGAATTGTATGTCCATCAATATTCAAAGAGCGGGGTTAAGAGACAAAAGGGTATGGATTCGGTCTCTTTATCAAAAATTTAAGGTGAATTTTTTGGGTATTCAAGAATCAAAATGGGAAGTTGTGGATTTATTTGCTGCTCGTTCTTTTTGGGGTAACCCTTCTTTTCATCACGCTTTCTCTCCCTCTCATGGAGCTTCGGGTGGTATTATTGCTATTTGGAATCCGGATGTCATTTCTCAAAAGAATGTTATTATTTCTGATTATTTTGTTGTGGTGGAGGCTAATTGGATGAGATCGGGATTAGATTTGATGTTTATTGTTGTTTATGCTCCACAAGATGCTGATATTAAAAGAGCTCTTTGGATGCAAATTCTTCAGTTGGTGTCTTATTTTTCTGGAGAATGCATTATTATGGGAGACTTTAATGTTGTCAGGGAGGAGTCGGGGAGATTGGGGTCATAGTTTAACCCAACGACTGCTTCTGTTTTTAATCTTTTCATTGAGCAGGCTGATTTGGTTGATATTCATCTAGGGGGTCCTAGATTTACTTGGAGTGATAAGTGGGGTTCTAAATTCATTAAACTGAATAGATTTTTAGTCATGGCTGGAGTTTTGGATTACTTCCCTCATATAGATGGTTTGGTTCTTGAAAAGAAGATCCCTGATCATGCGCCTATTCTTCTTATGGAGCATAAAGCTGATTTTGGCCCTCTTCCTTTTCGATTTTTCCATTCATGGCTTGACATGGAAGGTTTTGATGATGTTGTCAGACATTCTTGGGCGATTGGTGTGGAGTCTAACAACCCATATGAGCATAAAAAAAGTTGTTTTTGTATAACAAAGGTTGCATTAAAAAAGGTTGCATCTAAAAAAGATTTTCAACTTTTCATAAAGGGTTGCATTTTCCAAAAAAAAAAGTTGCTTTAGGTCTAATGCAACTTTGGCTAATGCAACCTTTGGTAAAAGGTTGCTTTAGGCATTATGCAACTTTTACAAGGCCTAATGCAACCTTTTAGCGGGGTTGTATTAGCTTCATTTTGTTGTAGTGGTTTGATGGTGGTCTTGCTACTTTGTCTCCTCATCAGTCTTATTCAGGACCGTGGAATAGTCTCATTCGTATGATTGCTAATATCCAGGATATGGGGATAAATCTCCTCAGCCTTTGTCCGACTAGAGTTGTAGACGGTGCTCTTACTAGTTTTTGGCATGATAAGTGGATCTCTGATAGCTCTCTTGCAGCGACTTTCCATAGAGTCTTCGCGTTGGATGTGCATAGAGGGAAATCTGTGAAATAGAGATTTTTTATCGGATGAGATCCGGGTAATCTCCGTCGGTTGCCTAGGGGGGTGGTATTGAGCAGAGTCAATGGGATGTGTTTATAGAAGTGGTTCAGAATGTTTGTCTCCTTGATAGATCTGACAGATTGGGTTGGCTCGCCGATCTGTCGAATATGTTTTTTGTTTCCTCAGCCATTACCTTTATTGATTCTGCTACTCTTGCTGATACTGATATTCAGTGTGATACTCGTTGGAACAATTGAGTTCCAATAAAACTCAATATCCTGATGTGGAGGATCAAACTTGGAGGTACTCCAACTAGGGAAAGATTGTCTTATCATGGTGTGGAGGTGCAATCAATCATGTGTCCGCTATGTAGTGTTGCAGTGGAGACCATTGATCACCTATTTGTTGGATGTAGAGAATTGTTGGAGATTTGGAGCCGTATTGCTATTTGGTAAGATGTTCGTCTTCCGGATAGGTTTGCTATTGATGATATCATGAGGTGGGCCGATTCTACAAGTTTGAGGGCTGACCAAAGAAAAGCCTTTGACGCGGTGATTATCTCGGCTTTTTGGTGTCTTTGGAATTTTAGAAATAATTTTGTTTTTGGCCCAACTATTCCTAGGAAATCCGATCTCTTTGATGCTATTGTAGAGAAGACATTTTTTTTGGATTTCTAATAGGTCTAGCAAATCTAGGATTGGATGGACTTTTTGGATTCATAATCCGGTTCTAGCTTCTATTTTGATGTAATTGTTGTTTTCTTTTTCTAGATTCTTGCTAATTTTTTTATAAAATCTTCTGCCGTTCTAACAAAAAAAAAATTAATTCGTTTTTCTTTTATTGCTTAAGATGTAGAAATATGTTAGTCAAATTAATTAGGATTGTTAGTGTAATAAACGGTGATTTGGTAGTTTAGTTTCTGAAAATCATAATTTTTTCATTTACAATTCGATCGGATGCATGTAAGTTGTTATTTTATAGAAATAAAGTAACTTTCGGCAAAATGGATGCTAAATATAAGTAGAAAGTTATAACCTTTTTTTTTTTTGTTTATAAATGTTCGATTAATATAATTGTAAGTTTTTGAATATATAAAATAACATAAAAGGTATAAGATATTAGTTTGATTAAATCTAGATGCAAAATTCCAAGATGACTACTAACAATAATAATACTAATATATAAATAATAAATATATATGTGTTTGAAATATAAAAATACTAACTATTTTATCTTACTTTTCGTCCATAAAAACCAATAATTGTTTATATGAGGTATAAATACGTGAAATAGGAGGGGTAGGATAGTTGTGACTTGTGAGCACATGCCTTTAGAAAACAACTAAAATCTTCTTCTTTACAAGTGCTTCTTCATCACTTCTTCAAGCTCAATGCCACCACCATCTTTGCCGGAAAATGACGTCGAAAAATCTCATCACCACCACTCTCCTCCACCGGCGAAGCCCACAAAGCGAAAGCCTGGCGGTTGGAAGTCCATGCCTTATATTTTGGGTACAAATATGTTTATTTTTTCAGTTATTTTATCATTAAAAACGTGATGTTTTATCAGCTAGTAGTCTCAGCTAATCTGTCAAACATCATTTTTATTCATTTGTTACAACCAACACCGTCCTAAATCTCTCTTATCTTCCCGACATTTCCATTGCACATATGACTTGTTTTCCATTCTATCATTACCTATACATATGTCACAAGACTTGTTATAATTTGAATTTTCTTTAAAATATTGTTTACTTCTTTTTTGTAGGAAATGAATCGTTTGAGAGATTAGCCTCAATTGGACTGGTCGCGAACTTCACGGTGTTTCTAATGACAGTGTTTCATATGGACCAAGTATCATCATCGAACCTTATCAACATTTGGTCAGGAGTTTCCAATTTTGCCCCTCTCATTGGAGCTTTCATCTCCGATGCCTATGTCGGCAAGTTCTGGGTCATCGCAGTCTCCTCCTTTGCTACTCTTTCGGTAAATAAATTAACACTTTACACATAGCAGGGGTAGTTTTGTCTTTCTGCGGCTAATATTATGGTCATGGGTCTCAAAAACTTAAAATTAACACTTTACAAATACCAGGGGTAGTTTTGGGTTTTATCATGTTATAAAAATCGAGCACTTCACGTTATTTATTTGGATAATTATATTTTCATTAATAAATAAGAATATGTTTACAATTCTACATGGCATATTAATACTATTTATTAGTTTTATTATCATTTTGGCTAATTTAATAAACATATTTATTATCTTTTTCTTTATAACGACAACGATAATGAAGTAATACCATATTACCATGTAAAAGTTGTTTTAATCATTTTCGAAACGAATATTAATATTTGTTCTTTAATTGTATCAAAACACACACACATACAAACACACGTGGCGCACGCACAAAGATAGAAGATAAAATGGACATATAAAAAAAGTAAGATGATGTATGTGTAACAAGATTAAAAGGTACTTTCATAATTGGGAGGGTTCAAACGGAGTAAATAATTAGAAACGTCTGGATTTTGTCATCCCACTACGTCCCATACATCAAAATGTCCTTGTCTCATGATTAAAGTTCTACATTAAACGGCACATTGGTTTCCCTAAAAGCATGAAAGAACGTTCACAAACATTACATGGCCACAAGCCCACGACATGCACTATGAATTAGCATTGTCCAAATTATATTTCAAACTTACAATTTAAATGTCTTAATCGCAATATAGATATTAAATATTTTACAAATGTCAGCCATTATGCACAAATTATACAACGTATATAAAAGTTTCTTGATTTATGTAGGGAATGGTGACCATGACCTTAATTGTGGGACTACCAAAATTGCATCCACCATCATGCACCACTCAACAAGCCCGACTCAACCAGTGTCAAGCTCCAACCAATAGACAGTTTGGTATCTTGGTCTTAGCCCTCGGGTTCTTATCCATAGGGACAGGTGGGATAAGACCATGTAGTCTTCCATTCGGAGTTGATCAGTTTGACCCAACCACAGATGAAGGTAGAAAAGGGATCAACAGTTTCTTTAATTGGTACTACACCACCTTCACTATCATTGTACTCACTGCCTTGACCCTTGTGGTCTACATCCAAGACTCGGTGAGTTGGGTTTGGGGATTCGGTATCCCAACGATGCTTATGGCATGTTCCATTGTGTTGTTCTTTATTGGTACCCATGTATATATTTATGTAAAACCCGAGGGAAGTATTTTCTCTGGAATTGCTCAGACACTTGTTGCGGCTTACAAGAAACGTAAACTTGAAGTTCCTAGAGGTGAAAAGGAATTGACTAGAGGGAAATTATATGATCCACCTATGAAGGGAATGTATGAAGTCCCGAAGTTGCTTCTAACCGATCGGTTCAGGTAATTTATCTCTTTGGAAATATGTTTAATCGTAGAACATCTACAATGCATAAGTTAATGAAATGGTTGAATAAGATGGGATGTCGGGTTGACATTCAATGAATTAAATTCAACCATAATAGGATGCCAAGTTGGTATTCAGTTGATCTGGATTCGAATGACCGTTGAACCTTCGATACAAAAAGAAACAAACTTTTTATTATTCTTTTAAAATATGTTTGGTTTAACTTTATAGAGTTCAATGAATTTATAAATTAAACGGCAAAGTTCTATGAAAATAAAAATGATAATATAACAATCCAAACGTTAATTAAAAAGCTCAATGCACTGGGGGTACTCATGCATTTAATTAATGGTTTGTAAAGATATATCTTTTATAAGATGTTTAATATACAATATTTTGTTATGTATCAATTTAGGTGTCTAAACAAAGGAGCTATTGTAGTAGATGGTGACATAAACCCTAATGGGTCTAGAACAAGTGCTTGGAAGTTGGCTAGTATACAACAAATCGAGGAGGTAAAATGCTTGATAAAAGTTATTCCGATAGTAGCTTCTGGCATTATTTGTTTCACCGCGATACTCCAACAAGGGACTTTCACTGTGTCCCAAGCACTAAAGATGAATCGTCATCTGGGTCCAAACTTTCAAATACCAGCAGGTTCGATTGGTGTCATATCCATGATCACCATTGGGATATGGCTCCCTATATATGATAGGATTCTTATTCCCTTAATAAGAAAGATCACGAAAATCGAGACAGGAATCACACTCCTTCAGCGTATTGGAATTGGAATTGTGTTTTCTATTTTATCAATGATTGTTGCCGCATTTGTTGAGAAAATGAGACGTGATTCTGCAAATTACCACAACCGAGTAGATGGGGTTGCACCCATGTCAGTCATGTGGCTCGCACCACAACTGATCTTGATGGGGTTTGCTGAGGCGTTTAGTATTCTTGGTCAGCTAGAATTTTACTATAAGGAATTCCCTGATAATATGAAAAGTGTTGCAAATGCAATGTTCTTTGTGACTGCTGGTGTGGCGAATTATGTGAGTAGTGCGTTAGTTTCAATGGTGCATAATGTCACTGGAAAACATGGGCAACCCGATTGGTTGACGGCTAATATAAATGAAGCTAAAGTTGATTACTTTTACTATGTGCTTGCTGGATTAGGGTTCTTGAATTTGGTTTATTATCTTGTAGTTGCTTCTCGATATAGATATAAGGAAAACATTCGAGATATTGAAGAGGAACCACAATTCGATGTTGAGTTATATGGTATTAAAAAATAGATTAGTTTGTATTAAAGACATGCAATAATATTTTCTTTTGTAGTACTATGAAAATGAGTGATGACGGTTGTAGTTATTACTAATAAAAGAGTCATTAATGTAGTTTCAATATTTAAGACAAATGAAGGTTATATGTGAATAGTATTCAAAACGATGTTCTGTGTTATTTCTTGAAAAAATGTTCAAGGTTACAGTTAAAACGATTGGATCGTTCTTTAATTCACAAAGATAGTATAACATTAGAATAAAATTGTGAAGTTGTGTTTGTTGTGCATCTTTTAAGTATTGATGAAACAATACGTATATGACATTGGCCGATAATCTAGAGAAAGAAACTAGTGTTTACAATATTTGTTGCCAATGAGAATACTTGGGTAAAAAATACATTAGTGTTTTTGAAGCCCATGTTCATTTATGAACATCTGTTTAACCTACTCATGTTAATTTGATGTGTTCATTTATACAGGTAATTTAAAGCCATGTTCATTTATAAACATATGTTTATTTATGAAGACATTTGTTTAATTTTTTTGTTTTGAGCATCTGTTACGAGAATTGGTGGCCTCTTCCTAATCGATATTGTTGTAAAATACGACGGATCCAAATTGACTTAAATAATATTAGCTCAATGCGGAATGAGATCAAAAATTATCAAAGCGTAATAATCACAACGTAATACGAATAAAATAAATAGAATAGAGACACATGAATTTACGTGGAAACCCAAATCGGGAAAAAACAACGGGCGGAGGAAGCCGAGAAACAATTCACTATAATTTGCAGTGTTTACAGGGATTATGAAAGAGATTACAAATAGAGTGGAGAGCTAAAATATATGGTGGTGTATCAATATATATATATATATATATATATATATATATATATATATATATATATATATATGTATAGTAATGCTTTACTATACATATATATATATATATATATATATATATATATATATATATATATATATATATATATATATTTGATTTTGGTTCGTGGGTTCTTGGGTTGAGGTTATAAGTTCTATGACTTAGGCTATTTATAGCCAAACATAAAATATGAAAGGAAAGAAAGAAGATGTCCAAAATTGTAGGCGGAAAAGGTTTGTAGGCGCCTACCATCCATTCTTCATTCCAAAATTAACATATATATATTCATAGTCAAACTATGAATAGTAAATGATAAGTTACGGAAATAACCCCTGAACTATTTGCCACTTGCTAATTTTGGAGGTAACTTTTCCACAATCTCCACATTGACATCAAAATTAAGCAAGTCATGCTTTACGATTAGTTAAAACCTATAGCTCATCAAACTCTAAAACTTCCATAAGAACCTGCAATTTTATATAGAGAAAAAATTGTTTCCGAAAAATAAATAATACTTCCTCCACCTACGAGCCTTCAGGCTCAACTGCGATCAGAAACACCCACCATGTCCAAACATAATTTGAACTTGGCTATAGGAAGACTTTTAGTGAACATATCAGCGGGATTATAATCTGTATGAATCTTGTCCACAACACAATCACCTTTTTCAATGATATCCCGCACAAAATGATAACGAATATCAATATGCTTTGTTCGGTCATGAAACATTTGATCTTTACTCAAGAAAATAGCACTCTGGTTGTCACAGAAAACTGTGGTCACCTTTATTCTATCATCGAGTTCTCCAAATAACCCCTTCAACCACATATCTTCCTTAACTGATTCTGTAATCGCCATGTACTCTGCCTCGGTAGAAGACAGGGCAACTGTAGACTGTAACTGGGCTTTCCAACTAACAACACTAGAGTATGGAACACGTGCCATGTAAGCCATATCAGTCTCATTAGTAGGACTCAAAGCGGATGATAGCTTGAAATGAGCTGCAAAAGGTGTGTTGACAGACTTTGCTTCGTGCATACTGAAGCGTCTTAGGACTTTCTCAATATAACTTTTCTGAGAAAGATGCAAGATCCTAGACTTCCTGTCACGAATAATTTCCATACCTAAAATCTTTTTGGTAGCTCCAAAGTCCTTCATTTCAAATTCAGCTTTCAACTGGTCTTTTAACTTCTGAATCTCCTTCATATCTTTTGCTGCAATCAACATGTCATCCACGTACAAGAGTAAGTAGATCTTTGAACCATTGTCACATTTCTTGAAATAAACGCAGCTATCATAGGTGCACCTGCTGAATTTGTGACTGATCATGAAAGAATCGAACCTCTTGTACCATTGTCTAGGAGACTGCTTGAGGCCATAAAGAGATTTGTTCAACTTGCATACGTAGTTCTCCTTTCCAGGAACTACAAAACCTTCAGGTTGTTGCATAAAAATCTCTTCCTCAAGCTCACCATTTAGGAAAGCTATAGTGACATCAAGTTGTTCTAACTCAAAATCGTTAGAAGCAACCAACCCCAACAATACACGAATGGAAGTATGTTTGACAACTGGGGAATAAATGTCAGTGTAATCAATACCAGGAATCTAACTGTAGCCTTTAGCTACTAACCGAGCTTTGTATCTTGGTTTATCATTTGGGTTGACAGGTTCCTTGAGCTTGTAGACCCACTTGCATTTAACTGGTCTCTTCCTTTTCGGAATAGGAACTAAATTCCAAGTACTGTTTCGCTGCAAGGATTCCATCTCATTTTGCATAACGAGCATCCAATCATTTGAGTCTTCAGATTTGATAGCCTCGTCATAATTCGCAGGCTCCGTTGCGGACTCAATATTATCAGCAACAATAAAAGCATAGGCAACCAAATCAGATTCAGCATACCTCTTCGGAGGAATAATCTGTCTTCTCGGTCTATCTCTTGCAATGCTTGGAGTAGTAGCTTGTGGTTGTGAAGGTGTTAAATCTTCACCAACAACATGCTCATCCGAAGAAGAAGAATCTTGATGCTGATTTGTACTCTGATTAGTGGTAGGTGAAGTAGGAAGCTCCACCTCCATTTGAGCATTCTCTTTATTTGCTTCGGATGATACATCTGATGCATCTGTTCTTTTAGAAGAGTCAGCAACTGGTTGAATCATAGCAGACTCATCAAAAGTAACATCTCTTGAGATGATAATTTTCTTCAAATCAAAGCTCCATAACTTGTAACCCTTTACACCTTGATTGTACCCAAGAAAAACGCATTTGATTGCTCTTGGTTCTAGCTTCCCATTGTCAACTCGTGCATACGCTGGACATCCGAATGGTTTTAAATCTGAATAATTGGCAGGTTTACCGGACCATAACTCAAACGGAGTTTTCTTCTAGATTGCTCGTGACGGTGATCGGTTGATAACATAGCAAGCAGTCGAAGCAGCCTCCTCCCAAAAAAAACTTTGGCAATTTGGAATTAGAAAGCATACACCGGACCTTCTCCATAATGGTGCGATTCATCCTTTCAGCTACACCATTTTGTTGAGGTGAATGGACTACTGTGCGATGTCGAGTAATGCCTTCCTTTTGACAATAGACATTAAACTCTTCTGAGCAAAACTCAAGTCCATTATCCGTACGAAGATACTTTACCACCAGACCTGATTGCTTTTCAACCTGAACTTTCCAATTTCTGAATGTAGAGAAAACGTCTCCTTTATGTTTTAAGAAGAAAGACCACACCTTCCTGGAGAAATCATCAATAATAGTGAGCATATAAATAGCTCCACCTTTTGAAGCAACTCGAGCCGGTCCCCACAAATCCGAGTGAACATAATCAAGTGGTCCTTTCGTTGTATGGATACCACTTGCAAACCTTACTCGTTTTGCCTTGCCATATACACAGTCTTCACAGAAATCCAAATCAACAATCTTTTGTTGACCAAGTAAACCTCTTCGACTCAATTCTGACATGCCTTGAAAACTCATATGGCCGAGTCGAAGGTGCCAAAGACGGGACTGATCTAGATCAGAAAGAGACTATGAAACAACAGCAGCATCACTCGAAATTGTTTGCCCGTCAAGAAAGTAAAGATCTGAGGTTTTTCGTTTGGCTCTTAGTTTGTCGGAACCGTCTTTAAATACCCTGAGAACTCCACCTTTACCAGCAAACTCGTATCCCTTTTTGTCAAAGGAACTGAGAGATAACAAGTTTCTTCTGAGGTCAGGAACATATCTAACATTCCCCATGGTTCGAATAACTCCGTCAAACATATGGATCCTGACTGAACCATGTCCAAGAACTGGACATGTAGTATTGTTACCCATCAACACATAGCCCTGGTTAACCTTTTCAAATGTGTAAAACCAACTTTTGTTGTGACACATATGAAAAGTACAACCAGAGTCGAGTATCCAATCACCAGTGGAATCCAGTTTATCTGAATAAACTGTCAAAAGTTCTCCAATACCTTCGACCTCAGCTACATCGGCTTCACCCGAAGTGCTAGCTTGTTTACCATTTGTTGCCGTCTTCTCTTTTTCTTTATTCTTCAACTTGAAGCATTCTTCAAGCACATGTCCCTTCTTGTGACAATAGTTGCAAAACTTTCGTTTGCCTTTTGACTTGGATCTGGTTCTGTTGGAAGATTGAGAAGTTCTACTTCTCTCTGTTGTTCTTCCTCTGGCATTCAAACCTTCGGCTTTAGCATCACTTGAACCACCACCAGTAATATGCTTCATCTTCTCTTTGGAATCCAAAGCTGTATAGACTTCATCTAAAACTAGAGTGTCACGGCTATAGATAATAGTATCACGAAAATGGCTATAGGATTCTGGCAACGACGACAGTAAGAATAGAGCCAAGTCTTCATCTTCATACTGAACATCCATATTCTCTAAGTTATTTACTAACTCTTTAAATGTGGATATATGTTCAGTTAAAGAGCCTCCTTCAATCATCTTGAGATTGAACAATCGTTGCTTCAAATGCAACTTGTTTGGTAAGCTCTTGGTCATCAACAGTTGCTCCAACTTTAGCCATAAAGAAGCCGCTGACGTTTCTTTTAGAACATCTTGCAAAACATCGTTTGACAAGTGCAAACGAATCTGGGATAAAGCCTTCAGATCTTTCATCTCCTTTTCTTCTTCGGTCCATGTATCGGACATCTTATTGAAACCCAAGAGCGCCTTGTGTAAATCCATCTGAATGAGAATGTCTCTCATCTTTACTTGCCACAACGGAAATCGGGTGTTACGATCCAG